CCTCTCCCTCTGAGGTGGGGGGGGGGAGCGCGATCGATCGATCATGAGGCTCTGTGATTGATCATCCCACAGAGGGAGGCCCTGCTCACCTGGGCAGGGGCTGCAAGATCACAGAGGCCCTTCCAACCCCTGATCGATCGCCCTGCCAGCTGGTGGCCTGAGCCTCTCTCTGCGGGGCCATCGTGGGGCAATGGCGGAGCCCCCCAACTAATCACATCGCATTCGCTTTGGCTGGCCTGGCACCAGTGCATGTCATGGCATGGTCATCCGGAAGGTCGTCCGGACAGTCATTCTGCTGTTCAGTCGTTCAGTTGATTTGCATATTATGCTTTTATTATTATAGATAGATATATACACACACAAATTATAGAGAGATGCCAAAGGACACAGAAGACAACTCTAAGGGTGTCCCACTTGCCAAATATAGGACAATTTGAAAATGAAATAATAATAATTATAATATTAACTCATCACATAAAACAGGAAACCTTTAGTCCATATTGATAATAGACTGACAGGTGATAAGGAAGAATATATTTACATTGCCTTAAAATACATTTCTTCAAATACTCTCCTTCCCCCCTCCCGCTTTGTAAATACTAACTTTACAGTGGAGAAGTCAGGCAAACACCAGCCTAATCAAGTGATCAAAGAGCACATCATCAGTAATGCAGCAAATTTAAATTATGTCCCACCTGATACAAAGCAACGAGGAAAAATGAACATAATTTCTGTGATATTCCTATCAAAGATATATAGTATCCATTACATTTAATCACAAGGAAACATCAGAAAAACTCAATTTGAGGGACATCCTAAAAGATAAATTGCCTATTAATTTTCAAGTATCAAGGTCATGACAGACAAAGAAAAACTGAGGAACTGTTTCAGATTAAAGGAGACTAATTTACTAATTTTAACCACTGTATTCTGGTTGTGTAGAATACCCGTTTGTAGGCAAAACACGATAAAAGTGTTAGAAAATGAAGACAGACCAGATTAGCAATTTATTCCCAAATGCCTCAAGAAATCAAAAGTTCAACACTTTTCTAATTTTGCTATTGTTTCAAATTTTAAAATCATTGTTTAAAAAAATGAAGTAGGCGAAGGGAAAATTGAAAGAAAAAAGGCACAGTTAATGATTATTGAAATTAAATGCAAGTTTTCATCAATTTTTTGTTCCATGCTTATCACTGCTTAAGAATGTTGATAAAATGTTTGTGCAACAAAATGAAAACCCCCAGTTACTTTCATTTTCACATAATGTTACTTGAAATTTTAAAGATCACAGTACTTTGTATGTTGTTTTAAATTAACATTTCTTGCCCTGGCAAGGTGGCTCAGTTGGTTGGAGCAATATCCTATACACCAACAGGTTGTGGATTCGATCCCTGGTTGAGCACATATGGGAGGTAACCGATCAATGTTTCTTCCACATTAATGTTCCTCTCTCTCTCTCTCTCTCTCTCTCTCTCTCTCTCTCTTTCTCTCTCTCTCTCTCTCTCTCTATCTCTCTCAAAAAAGCAATAAAAATCATATCCTCAGGTAAGAATTAAAATAAATAATATTAGCACTTCTGTTTTGTTTTCACGATTTGAATATTTACTATTTACTATACCGTCACTTTGTGAGGTAAGTAGCTTTCCAACATTTTGCTATGATAAATAACATTTATATTTAAAATAAGTACCTTTGTGAAAAGCCGTCTTTTACTTTCTGCATGCTTAATAGTTGGACATCTATTTTGCTCTGCATAACAACATTAAGGAAATATTGCACATATGATGGTAGTCACATAAGATTTTAATCAAGCTGAAAAATTTCTATTGCCTAGTGACATCTTGAATGTTATAATGTCGCAGCACAACGTTACTCTCGTGTCTGTGGAGATGCTGGTGTAAACAAACATACTGTGCTGCCATTAGTATAAAATTATAGCACATGAAGTTAAGTGCCAGTACATAATACTGGGCAATGATAATAAACGACTGTTACTGGCTTATCTATGTATTACAATTTTTAATATTTTAGAGGGTATTCTTTCTACTTCTTTAAAAAAAAGTTAGCTATATAAACAGTATGCCATATTATGCTGGCAACAGTCTCACATACCTTATGTTTACTGCATCATGTTCTCTTGTGTTTTATTTAACTTTATGTTGCTTTATTAATTTAGTGTAGCCTAAGTGTATAGTGTTTATAAAGCCTACAGTGGCATACAATAATGTCCTAGGACTTCACATCCACTCACTACTCCCTCACTCATCCAGAGCAACTTTCAGGCCTGCGAGCTCCATTCATGGTAAGTACCTAAACAGGTGGAGCTTTTTTTTTTTTTTTACCTTTTATATAGTATATTTTATTTATTTACTTAGTATTTTTTTGTGTGTTAATCCTCACCTGAGGATATTTTTCCCATTGATTCCTACAGAGAGTGGGAGGGGAGAGAGAGAAAGAGAGACATTGATGTGAGAAAGACACATCAACTGGTTGCCTTCCACACATGCTCCAACTGGGGCCGGGGATCAAACCTGCAACCCAAATATGTACCCCTGACCAGGAATCGAACCTGTGACCCTTTTGGTCCTCTGGCCAACACTCTAACCACTAAGCAAAACCAGCCAGGGCTTTTATATAGTATTTTTAATGTACCTTTTCTATTTTTAGATATGTCTACATGCACAAATACTAACAACTGTATTACAATTACTTATAGTATTCAGTACATTGATATGCTAAACAGGCTTATAACTTAGGAACAACTGGCTATACAATATAGTCTATGTGTGTAATAGGCTATACCATCCAGGTTTGTGTAAATGTGCCCTATAATATTCACACAATACAATCACCTAATGAGCATTTCCCACAACATATCCCTGCTGTTTTAAGTGGCACATGACTGTATAAACCTTTTATTTATACCTTTTAGTAGCATTTTTATGCCATATACAAATTTTTATGTATCAGGTAAAACAACTGTCAAACATTCAATTTCCAACGCATCATCATCTTTGAGAATAATATATAAATAATTATTTGAATATTTTATGACACTGGTTTTTAAAACTATGCTCTTGGAAAGCCAATTACATGTGGACACTGAGTACTACAATCCCATTTCAACATGGTGGTTTATGCCATCTATTTATACTGGGCTCCCCAGTAAGAGCTTATGTAAGAAAACAGGGTTCTACTTCTTTCAACTTTGAAAACTGATTCAGACTTCCACCATTTTGAGCCTATAATTAAATGAAAGAGGGTGGTGGTGGTGTCAATCAATCAAAAAAGACCCAGAATTGACATAGGGCTAGAATTAGCAGACAAGGGATTAAAGCAGTTACTACAATTGTATCACACGCACACACATACAAAAGTAGAGGCAAGGAAGATAAAATACAGTGCTGTCCAACAGAATTTCCTGTGATGATGAAAATGTTCACTATCTACACTGTCCAATATGAGGCATACTCTTTACTGACAACTACTGAAAAGTTGGGGGGAAATGAGAAATGTCTTCTTAATATGAAGAGATTCTGTGAATCTGATGATAAAAATTATGACACAGAATTCCTATTATAAGAGATCCTATTTAAATGTTCTGCAACAAATCCTCTAGAATGGTTACACTAACAATAAAGGAAATAGCAGCAGTATGAAACCAACAAATTTTTATTGAGGCATGGGAGAGAAATGTACTTCATGAAAAATTAAAACATGCCTAGATTCTGTGAAGGCATTTCTAAAATTGAGAAGGAAATGAGTATACATAAAAATGCAGAGATTAAAAAAAAATGCAGAGATTTTAAGTGTTCAGTTGATGACTTTTTAGAGAAAAATCTTCCAGTGGTCATCTCTTTGTGGATTTATAAACTTCCACGCACAAGGTCAAGAAAAACTGACAATACAGTAATTGACTACTATTACACAACCATTTCTCAGATGATGTACCTTAAAATATAAAATTTTTAGCTATAATTTTAATTTAACTCAAGGGACAAAAATACTTGATATTCACCTGACCCTTTGGCAAGTATGTCCATAAGCTGGAAAAGAATTTATGTGCATGTTTTGGGATATCTTGATTCAGAGAACAAAAGAGAATGAAACAGATAATTTATCAGCTTCCCAGAACTGTCAAAATAAAAGTTATCTAATACATTTTATATATGCAAACAGGCACCTTCAATTTTAAATTCAGCTTTGGCGTAGAACTTTGAATAAAAGACAAATTATTGTAGTTTATGAAACATCAATGCTTAAAAACTGCACAAAAGTAACAAAATAGAAAGGATATTGGGAAGAATTCAAGGCTATCGAAGAATAAACTAGGTCATTTGGGCTGGCTTTGGTTGCCAAGCAACTGGGATTTCTCACTGTTTCCCTTTAGAATAATCCTATCTTTAAGAGTTTTATTAAATTGTTTATTTCTTCTTCAAGACATAATAATATATTTAGGAATCACACTAATGAGAAACTTACATAAAGGAAAATTAAAAGATCTACTCAAAGACAGGAAACAAAATATAATTTCCTCTTTAAAGGATCAGTGAGCAATAAAAATACGTTAATTATCTTTAAATTAATCTATAAAATAAATTCAATTCCAATTGTGTTTTGGGGGGTAGAAGTTACCAAAGTAATTCTTATATACCTGGAGAAATAAAACATATTAAGTTAAATAACAAAGGTGAAACTGGTCACTGGGAGTAAAATAAAGACCAAAACCTAACCCTTACTCTCTACTCCAAAAATATTTAATAAAATAAAGATTTACATATTAAAATACAAACAACTAAAATGTAAAAGTAGGAGAATACAGGCAAATTTTTTTTTTTTAAATTTTGCTTAGCTAGGTCTGTATGAGTATGGTATCAAAATCAGAAACTTTAATACAATCTCAAGAGATATGACTGTTGTACTAAAATATTTTAAAAACTGTATTACTAAAGCAGACAAAACTTACAAGAGACAGAGAGTAAAATGGCAGTTGCCAGGGTCTAAGGGGAGAGGAAAATGGAAGTTAGTGTTTAATGTGCAGAGTTTCAGTTTGGGAAGATGAATACGTTCTGGAGATGGATGTTGGTGATGGGTTGCAGGATGTGAATGTACTTAATAACCACTGAACTGCATACTTAAAAATGGTTAAAACTGTAAATTTTACATTATATATATTTTACCGCAATTTTTTAAATGGGGGTTTTGGAAACCCACATTAACAGAAAATGCTATAAATACTTTATGAGTAATCAAATAAAAATCAGTAAACAGTAAGATATAATTTCTCATCTATCATATTAACAAACCAGGAAAATTGCTCATACATTATCAGTGACATCCAAAGTGGGGACATAATCTTTACAGAAAGCAATAATACAACAGATATCAAAATATAAAATATGCATATGCTCAGTCCCAGCAATTTCGTTGCCAGAAATGCAAATAAGATAATGCTGCAAGTGTGCTAAGATATATATTGTAAGAATGTTACTAGAGTATTATTTGTAAAAGCATAAAATTAGAAACAATCTCAATGTCTGTAATAAAGAAACTAGATAGCCCAGTCAGTATGGCTCAATGGTTGAGCGTAGACCCAGGAAGCAATACCTGGTCAGGACACTCCCCGGGTTGAGGGCTCGATCCCCAGTAGGGGCATAAAGAAGGCAGCCGATCAATCAATGTTTCTCTCTCTCCCTTTCCCTTCCCTTCCTCTCTCTCTAAAAATCAATAAAAACATTGGGGGTAAAAAAGAAGCAGGATAAATTATATTTGTCCTATAGAGGGAATACTATGCAGTCATTTAAAAATTATAAAGAAATTCTATAATTGTTCTCATGAAACAATGTCTGACATATTATAGAATAACTAGAGGCCCGGTGCACAAAAATTTGTGCACTGGCGGGGGGGAGGGGGTCCCTCAGCCCAGCTTGCCCCCTATCACATACTGGGAGCCCTAGGGGATGTCCTACTACCTGCTCCCTGCTCCCCTTGGGGAGTGGGCCTAAGCCACAGTCTGGCCTCCCTTTGTGGGAGTCAACCAGGCTGATCAGGGGAAGGCTGCAGCCCCATCATCACACTGTTGCAGCCACTGCCAGTCATGGCAGCCACCAAGATGTTTTCATCAACACGGACTCCAGTCTCTTTACCATGAAAAAATCCATCCTTCCTTCCTTCCTTCCTTCCTTCCTTCCTTCCTTCCTTCCTTCCTTCCTTCCTTCCTTCTTTCTCCTTCCTTCCTTCCTTCCTTCCTTCCTTCCTTCCTTCCTTCCTTCCTTCCTTCCTTCCTTTCTTCTTCCTTCCTTCTCCTCACCTGCGGATCT